CCAAAAGATTCTCAAATCCTGACCTCTTCTCAAACTGATGGCCAATCCCCAGATTTAGAGCTTGTAGAAGAGACCAAAAAGGAAAAGGGAGATTGTTCAATATTGGTCTCAACCAGCGAGGCCCAAGACGGAACCGACGCAACAAACCAGCTGGAGAATGAATCTGAGGTCAAAGGCAAACCAGAAACAAGCACTAGCATTAATGATGACCTCAGTCAAGAGGACTCTGAAGTGATCACACCTGTATCTTCTGAAAGCCAGTCTCGGCGTAGATCCAGTAGAAGCAAGCCCTCATCTGAGGCAGCGGAGTCCGAAGACAAGAGTGACAGTCAGTCTTCATCAGGAAGACGGAGTCGGTCCAATTCAAAGACAACTGAATCAGCTGTTGCTCAGGCGGAGGCCAGCATTGGAGGTAAAACCAGAAGAAGCAAAGCACAAGAAGATTTGTCCAAATCAACTCCTGGCTCAACCCCAGAGGGTTCTCAGTCGTCAGATGTTCCTGGATCATCAGAGTCCAAAGGCAGGGGCAGATACTCCAGACGAAAGTCTTCCCCAGGGTTAGTGGCCAGTTTGGAGTCTTCAGAGTCTGAATCCTCGCAGGCCAGAGACGTTACTGTCATGCCCAAAAAGAGAGGGAGGAAACCGCGAGCTTCACTCCCGATTCCTCTCGTCGTCGATTCTAAAATAGATGGAATCGATAAGGATGTGACACAGAATGTTGTTAAAGATTCTCAAGAAGCAGATACGCAAATAATGGAAGCCACGGCTGAGACGGTTTCAGATGAAGTCCAGGATAAAGTTGAAATGGAGGAGCAACGTAACCACGAATCACCAACGGAGGTAGAGGCTGATGCTGTTGTGGCCTCGGAGCCCGTCGTTCCTGAGAAATCTGAGACCGATGACACAGAGAGAACCGATGTGTCACCGAGCAAGAACGAGCAAAGAGACTCTCCAACAGAAACTGATGATACGTCTTCTCAAGACACTGAGGCCTTCGAAGTGCCTGAAGCAGTTGGGGTCAGTAATGAGCAGATACAGGAAGATTCGCCACCTGCTGTTGGAACGCTGGTGTCTCCGGATGAGACGACGGAGACACCTCAGGTCTCAGAGTGTCCAGAGGACAAAGCTGAAGACGTTTCTGAAACTGGGGACAGTGATAAAGAAAATGAAAAAGCTGATTCGGACCAAGAACATCCAGTTGTTCCAGTGGAAGATGCATCTCCAGATGGAAACCAGGTTGAGTTTCCAAATGTCATAGATGAGCCTTCAAAAGAGGAGGAGCCGTCGGACCAGCCCACAGAGGTCAGCGTGGACGAAGACATCACACCTCTACCGGAGAATGATGATGATGACAGAAGCACCCAGATGCCGGAGTGTCGGGAGGAAGAGCAAACGCCGGCGGCCGATGCTGAGACCGATGTAGTCGTGAACTTGGATGCGGCTCTTACAGATCTGTGCGATGCTCCGGTGTCTGCGGACGCTTCTGTCAAAGATGCTTTTCAGGATTCTCCAGTGAGGCAGAAGGACCTGGAGGCTGTCATGGGCTTAGATGTTGGCCAGAGCCCCAGCGGAGGCAGGACCAGAGGAACCTGGTCTCCCTCAGCCTCCCCCTCCACCAGTATTCTGAAGAAGGGCCAGAAGAGACCACTAGAGGATGAGACCCCCTCGCCTCTCGTCAAAGTAAGAGCCGGAGCTGAGATCGGTAAATTCGTGAACAGTTATGAGCTTTTTTTTTACAGAACTTGTTTTTTGTCTCTGCTTTAACTTCCCAGTCCAGACGCGTGTCTTTTGCCAATCCGATCCAGCGGCAGGAAATCGCGGACGACATTGATCGTCGCAGCCCCGCCATCAGAACCAGTTCTCCCAGAAGATCCAAAGTTAGCGCTATCCCTCAACCCAAAGTATGACTGAGCCCAGTACTGTACTTTAATTACTGCATTTCCTGAATCGACACCCCCCCCCCCCCATGACTATTATCTGCTCTTTATTCCAGTATGTCACGACTCCGACGAAGGGCTTGCTGATCCTGAGCCCCAGGAATCTGCGCAGTCCAGGTTCCAAGAGCTCCAAGAAATGCCTGGTATGTGCCAACATGACTAGTCCGCATTCATCATAGTCATTTTCAAGTAGAGGTGGGAGCAGGAGTCAAACAAGCACTGGGAGTCCTGGCTCGTGATTTAGGACGACACATCCAAAATACACATGGCAACATCAGCAATCGTTTCCAATATTAACTTCTGTGAGACGTATCTGATCCTGTAGCTGCAGGATCTCTAGTTAGTTGCTTGGTTGCAGAAAATGATAATGAAGATTAGCATTGGTGTAAAATTGGACAGACGTTGAGGTGGAACAGTTACTGTGCATTCATCGCTGGTCGATAAGTCGAGCTCAGCAACGTCCAATCAACACGCGGACGTCGGTGACGGCAACGTTGTTTTCCAAAGTCATTTGGTGATTCTTGGTCTTAATGTTTGATTCATTCATTTTGTTCTCTCTAGATTTCTGAGATGAGCCAGGAGCCTCGTCCTGTCCCCAGAGACTGCATCTATCCGGCCCTGGTCGGCTGCTCTGCACCCGTAGAAGCTGTGCTGCCTCAGATTTCCTCCACCTTGTGGTGAGTGAAGCACGCGTTTTGAATTTATTCTGTTTGTCATTTTTAAATCGGCAGAAATGAATGAGATCTTTGAATTGTCTCGAAACAGGTCCCGGGGGTTCGGGCAGCTCGTTCGAGCCAGAAACATCAAAACGGTCGGAGACCTCAGCGCTTTAACTCCCCACGAGATCAAGACTCTGCCCATCCGCTCCCCGAAGATCTCCAATGTCAAGAAGGCACTTAAGTTTTACGAACAGCAGGTACGTCAGGGGACAGAGGGCGGCAGTGTGACAAGACAAAAAAAAAAACATTTTCAAAATAAATAGTTTTCTCGTATTTGACACCTGAGTTGTTTTCTTCCAGCGTAAAGGTCGAGGTGGTGACGAGTTGAAGAGTTTTGATGAAATGGAGATGATGACGTCTGAACTGGAGGAGACCAGTGCTCCTCAAAACCAGGAGGACGAGGATAAGACCTCAGGCGAGACTCTCGGTGTGTAAAAAAAGTATTTTTATATACTTTATATTTACTCTAACACTTAAGCCGGGTTAACTGTTGTTTGAAAAGGTGAAGAATATTTATTTTATTTATATAACGAAAGAGAAATCAGACGACTGGTGTCACTCTCATGTCTGCACACTGAATGTGAGGTTACATTCACACGCTAGTTAGCTTAGCATAAAGATAGAAGAAGCCTTGATCTGTGAAAAGGTCGTCGTGTCATATCCCCGTCTCCCAGCACCGTGTCCTCAGGGATTCATTTCACCAAAAACTTTAAACGTTCAACTATATAATTTTCTATTTGCAGCAACGGAGCTGGTGGACGAACCCGTTCCTGCAGATGAAACATCGCACCAGGACGTCTCCGCTAATCAAACGCCCGACACGCCGACAGGAGCAGAACGGGAAGGACCGCTTCACGATGACGGGCTCCTGTCGGACGTGGAGGCCCTCACCTGCAGGATGACGCCACTAGAACTCAGTCGCTGCTCGCCGCAGCAGCTCGTCCGGATGCACGATCAGCTGGGAGGCATGATGAGCCGCGTGGTGGTCGAGCTGCAGACGCGCCTCTGCCAGACGGACGGCAAAACATGAAGCGACCCCTGGTGGTCAGACTGCTGCACAGGCCTGGAGGGGCACATGAAGTAGATGGACATATTTTTTAATATCCAGCCAGACTTTGTGTTGAATCAGATGATTTTACCTTTTGAATCCAATATATTTTTTGGCCTTTTTCGCAGCTTTTTTGAAGTTTTTTCTTTGAGAAAGGTTTTTTTTTTTTAAATGAACTCTCACAGCACATTACTTTTATCTCTGTAGCTTGAGCTGTTGGGTAGTTTAATAACATTTTAATAAACACTCAGAGGGAAGCACGTTCACACTTTTTTAAAGCTGTGACTAAAGATTTTTATAGCCGTAGTAGGGACGGGACAGTATTTTCCCTCTGTAGACTTTGTAATAAGGCACTGATGCAGTGGAACATACTCTGAAACATGTTGGCACAGACGACGTCACTTCCTCCCCCGAGCCTGTTGTTCGGGCCGTTTGCAACTCATCAGTGCTCTTGTACAGTTTTGTAGCTTCTAGGTTTCTTTCCTGTCGTCTCACGTAAACGTCTTATCTCATTTTTAATGTAAAGAAACAAACATTAGAACTGTCTGCACTTCTTTATTTGTGACTTTTAAATACTTTAAATAAAATAACTGATGAGGACTTTTAACATTTCGTCTTAAAGCTTTTTTTTTTTTTTAAACATGAGAAAGAAGCAAGTGAGTTTTAGGGAGGAGCTTTTTCAACATTTGGATGGACACTAATGTTTAATTTTGAATAGAAGGGACGATTATCTTGCATAGACGTGTTGTGTTTTATAGTTTTTAATGGTCAAAGTTGTTTGTAGAATTTAAGGAATGAGATTTTCTCAGTCAGGTTTTATAAACAACAATCTTAAAGAGATGCTGCGGCTCGGCTGAAAGACAAAAAAAGAATCGCTGGCATCAATGTCAAATTAAATCAGTATTTTGATTTTGTTCATCGTCGGCAGCTCCGTCCATCAATAAATCATTAATTTGTTTTAAACCATATTCACAAATCACAATTTGCCTCGTAGGGCGAATAAACAAGTGCAGCGTCGTCTGGTCAACGAGGACAGAAGAGTAATGGATGCTGCGTGTTGACAAAATGACCACATTTAAAACGTTATTGTCAGTGTTTCCTGTGAATCGACGTGTTGACTGTATTAAGATTTGTCGCTGACCTTTGACCTCACTCCTGAAGTCTTGTCCGAGCCCTCTCTCCCGTTGACCTCGCCGTGAGCTCTCCACACCTGCAACACTTCACCTGCTCTGCTTCCCGTGAGGAGCTTGCCTCAAAGCGTGAGATGTAAACACAGTAATGGTGATATGATACAAAATGACAGAAGGTGCCGTCGACTCCTCTCAGCCGGTTCCTCCTGGACAGCGTGGCCCGATGAGCCGGCCTCTCTTTGGCTCAGTGTGCCGAGTAATTATCTGATTATTCCCGCAGAGCGCTGCCAGGGGCTGCGTTGCATTTCCACGCTTTATTGAGACAGGTTGGGAGTCGCTGTGCAAGCGTAGCAGATTGTTCTCCAGGCTCTGCTGGACGGAGACCAGGGAGAGAAGCAGCTCCGACAGACGCCTCCACTGCAGGAGAGCGTCCACGCAGCCGAGGACGGGAGACATCACCGAGGTAAGACGCACAACACGGGTTGGACTGAACACACAGGTTAACATGGAACATGAGTCAGAGATGATCGGGATCATAAAACATGTTAAATAATTTGAGTATGATCTTTCGATGCACGATCCGTTTCACTGGGTTACTTTTTTTCCAAACACATATTTCATGGATAAATCAGGAAATGAGTCATGTTGATTGTCTATTATTGTAAATTCTGTTACCTTGTTGAAAAGCGACGTGATCTGTGTCTGTTTGGGGATAAATAAGTTTCTAATTGTGAAATCTACAAACTGTGAACAAGTGAAATATCATTTTAAATCTCCCGTTCTTACTAAAATAGATTAGAAACGTAAGTGCAGACACGTGTCATCGGTTTATCAGAGATTTATTCCAGAGTGACTCCAGATGTTTTGTGTTTTTGTGGAGTTTGATCTTTTTTTTTTTTTTTTTAAAAGATGTGTTTGCATTTTGTTGTGAATCGTTAAAACGAAGAACGTCCATTTACATCCTGGCATTTTTCACCTGCTGCTTCATTAGGAGCGGTTTTCTTCTCGCTCATGGTTTGTGGTCCGGATGACTCGTGCTGTGTCTCTCTCTGATTCTAGAGAGGAACTCCTGTAGTTTTTTTGTTACCTTAAGGCCACCGTAGATTGATTATTGAGAGGTGAGAGGAGGATCCTTGAGTTGTAATCTGCGACCTCACCACTAGATGTCGCTGTACCCTCCACACTGGTCCTTTAACATGTGGTTGCTGCAGGAATGGAGGAGATGCTGACTCAGCTGGTTCTGGGATGGACCGCCTTGCTCAGTGGCCTCCAGCCGGCGGCTTCCCTCGTCACAACCAGTAAGTGCAAACACCAGACTGACGTCACCAAACATGGGACGGCTTCTGTTTCGGTTCGTGCGTCTAATTTTAAACGTTTCAAACAAAAAATAAACTGGATTGGAATCAGAACTTTCCTAAAGTTCCAGAAATGATCAGGTTTCCGAGAAGGAACCGATGAAGTCAGCGAGTCTGCGTCATATTCTCGTCCTCGTGTTGCGTGTGTGATGAGGTCGAACAGGAAGTTTCACGCGTGTTCTGTCCGTCTGTAGAGTTTCCACCCGGCAGGTGGTCGGCTTTGAAATGTGACGTCTTCATCCCTCCTCCTCCGCCCATGTTTCCTCCGATCGAATGGAAAGCAGAGATCATGGTGATGAGTTCTCTCACACACACACACACACACACACACACACACACCTCTTCACCTTAAAGTGGAATGATTTGCATTATGGGTTTTTTTTTTTGTCCCCACAAAGACTTCAAATCTAAAATATGTGTTAAAGCTCGTACATGACTTCAAACTAAACTCGTCTTTGTCTCTGCAGGTTGATATAACCGAACATATCACAGGACCTAAAGGTGAAAAGGTAAAACAGACCTCCGCTATGACATAAATCAAACAAACATTTATTTATATTAAGTTTAATTTTTTTTATTTGAAGTTGTGTGAAATCCAGGGCTCTGTCATTCCAACGCTTCGAATGAACTAATGTGTTTTTATTACTAGAAATAATTAAAGTTAACAATCACCTGTGTTTTAAAGGGCTGCAGAGGAACCAGAGGACCAAAGGTGCAGCGTCACACACACACACACACACACAGATGCATTGAACCTCATCTTGCTGCTTGTGAAACAACCTTTATTTCTTTATATTTCTTTCTTTCAGTTATAAAAGGATAAATTAAAGTTGTGTGTATTTCAGGGTGAACCTGGTGTGACGGGTCCAGAGGGAGAAGCAGGAACACAAGGAATCATGGGACAACCAGGACAAAAGGTCACAGACAGAGTCACCATGTCGACCAACACGCAAACTATTGTGTTAATATTGTGTGAAGACTCTGGTCAAAAACCAGATCACACCCACAGTGGTTGATTCATCGTAACTGTAGTTGTGGTGTGTTTACACATCTACTGTTTTTACATCTGTAAATATCGTTCGTCTTATTTTTATCTAGTGTGACAGAAAATATTAAACATGACGTTTACACAACGCTTCCTGTCTCCAACATCTTGTCTCCACTCGTCCCGATTGGTCGCCCACATTGATTCTGGTTCTGGAGGTTTCTTCCCGTACACGAGAGCCTGCGTTACATTCTGCTGACTTTCTTTGGCCGGTCCCTCGGTGAGAAGTCAGCAGAATGCGAGACCACAGCAGGATTCACCGTCGTTCTAATAAATGATCAAACTTCGTGCTGTGATCGAAGTTATTGTGAAATATCGTTTTCCGCAGGGGGAGAAGGGACTGAGAGGCTGGAGAGGTCTGTATGGAGACATAGGAACTCCTGGGATGATCAAGGTAAAAAAAACAAACTGTACACGAGCATTAGTGTGGTACAAAGTAATGTAATCAATTATGAATTAATAATAATAATCTGTGTTTTCACAGGGCAGTAAAGGCTATAAAGGATTCAGGGTAGGTGACGGATATACTGCAAACACATACGCTTCAAACACCACTCATATATAATGTTTACATTTTATCTATGCTGATCCTTTAGGGTGATAAAGGTAGGAAAGGAACCCGAGGACCCAGGGGAGAGACGGTGAGGACAGAGTCTCTCGTCTTTTATTTCCTGTTCCTGCAAACGTGAGAAAACAATACAAATGAATTTCACATTGTGTCTCTGCAGAGCCAGAGCGGCGTCGCTGGACGTCCAGGAGAGAAGGTAGGGGGACGAGTGACGCCGTGAAGGTTCAGTTCAGAATAAAGAGACTGTGGAGGTTCTGTGATCTGCTCTGTTCCAGGGTAACGTGGGCGTGTGGGGCGACCCGGGTCAGAGGGGGGAGCAGGGACCCAGAGGAGGAGCTGGAGGCAGAGGAACAGTGGTGAGTGCCTCATAATGACATCATCATGACATCATCATGACGTCACTGTGAAGTCAGAAACTGATGCATTAACTTCTCCGATGAGATTAGAGACACGATCTACATTTTATTCTCATCAACCAATCAGGGATTATTACAAGAACACGTAACATCTGCTCTCTGGCCTAAATTAAACATGCGGACTCACACCTGGCTGTGAGAGGTTCGATTCCCGGCCCGGCCTGCTAATCAGCCTTTTGTTCGCTCAGTGACACAGCGAATCGATGTGTGTTCAGGGGCTGAAAGGTTCTCGTGGTCCTCCGGGAAAACTGGGTCATCCTGGTGCTGCAGGACGTCCCGGTCTGAGTGGACGACCCGGACGACCCGGACAAGGTTTGAGTCGGTTCACTCTGGAGAGGAGATCGTTTTACTTTTGTGAAGAACTTCTGTGACATGTTTTATTGAAATGTGATTGATTGATTGATTGATTTAAAGCCCAGCAGCTCTCCTTGTGTTGTAGTGTACGTTCTGCCAGGGAGGGAGGGAGACACAGGAGACAGAGGTCCGTCAGACAAATGTGACTGTTCACAGGTTCAAACCCCAGAGAGACCGTTGGACCGAGTGCAGACGGTTAGTGACACACGCACGCTCGCTCGCTCTATCTTTCCTAATCAATTAATCATTTATTGATTTATCTTTTTGGACTAAAGTACCAAATTGTGTATCTGATAAATGATCAGTCACTTGTTTCTGTGTATATTTACTGTATGTACTTTTAATGAATCATCTGAGTACTTCAAACACTGAAACTACTAACAGTGGAGCTGCAGCGTTAACAGCAAAGACTGAGCAGCTCCACCTTGTGTAGAATATTTGCTTTAAACAACAATAAAACTCCATTAATCTATATTAAACAGTCGCCTTTTAAATGTTTGTAATATTCTTATTTTACTCCACGTGACACATCTGTCGCTCTCCTCTCTGTCCGGTGAGATGGTTCTTCACTCGTGGTTTTCCCCCCGGTTGGAAAGTTGTGGATTTAAAAACACACGTGAAGTGTCTAACCTCACCTTGTCTCCAGATTTTTCTTGCAGACGGAGAGAAACAGATGCGGAGGCTGCGAGGCGAGAACGTGATGGTGCTGAGGACCGACCGACGAGCTCTGTACATCTACTCTGAGTCCCAGTGGATCAACATACTGGTAACTAACGGAAACATCAAATGTATATCTTCGTTTAACACAACACTCCTGTTGTGTTAAAATAAAGCCTTCGAGAAGGTCGTCTTGTGAGTTTCTCCTTTCAGGAAGTAAAAAAATGCAGGAAACATGAATAAAAATGACATGATTGAAAATGCAAAGTCGTGTTTTATTGTCACACATAATAAAAATGACATCTGGGGCCTGAAAGCAGAATCTGTGATTTTAGCAAAAAGCAGACGGGTTGTCAGACGGTCATGGAGCACATTGGTTGTGTATATCTGTGTATGTG